GAGTCGTCTATACAAACGATAAGACGAGATATTGACATACCTAAGCCCCACAAATTATAATTATCGAGCTCTTCTAACTTCACAGTTTAAAAGACACTGCCTTGCAGTTTTGGATTCATCAAGTGAGTAAACGAGAAAAACACAAATGTTTAAATAAATTAAATCCCAGTCTGAATGTAACTGCATTGGCCTTACAGTTTTAGAGTCACCAAGCGACTTATTTGGAATTGCTTTCAGCTGTTATAACACTGCGAACAGAGTATTGCGTAGTCGCTTACGCCCGACGCAACGTTCTAACTTGTTTAACATCTTTTTTTTTTTTGGGTTTGTATTTGTGTTTTTTTTTGCACGGGCAAAAGTTAGCTTTCTGCCTTTGCTAGTGTTCCTTGGGGAGCAATTGGGTTAATATTTGGCACATAAATTTGCAAACGAAACACTTTAATCAATGCTCAGTCGGGATGGGTTGAAATGCACCTTTCGGCCGTGGGCATATTGATTTGACAAACAAACAAAAAAAAAAAACAAACATAAAAAGCCTGAGGCATGCAGCTAGCCACGGGTTGTCCTGGCAAGGTTGCGGGTAGTCCTTTAAAGCACAGAAAGAGAGAGAGAGAGAGAGAGAGAGAGAGAGATTCGCCTGCCATTTATAACATATTGCATTTCATTTTGTTGATCTTCGAGCCACAGGCAGCTTTTGGCTGACATTTGCCTCAGGCTTGAAGCGACTCGCATAATCGCTTAAATGGAATTTATAGAAATCCTTGCAGCACCTGAGCCCTAAGCTGGGCCAGCGGCGATGCAGAAACGAGTGGCATTGATGCGGAGAGTGAGAGAGAGACGAAGGCCACCTCACTGACCAGCTGCACTCAGAGAAAAACGTCATTCAAAATGCTTATTTAGCTGCGACATAATTAAAACCCTTTGGTTTCTAAAATGTTGAGCCCATTTTGTTCAATATTCCTTGATTTCGCATGAATCAAGGCTGTGAGCTGGTTTTGGACTAAGCCGGTTAAAATTTCAATATTCGGTAAACTGAGCGTGAAACTAATTCCATTTTTGGCTTAGTTTAAGAAATTTCAATCTTGGTTGCATTTTAAACATGGCTGTAAGTGAAGTAAAAGTATACTCGGTTCATGGTGCAAAATAAATTGGAATTCCGGGCTCGAATCGGTTCGGCTCATAATCGGTTGTCAGTCTTAATTTAATTGCAAAATACTTGCGCTTTTCGCTGAGTGTAGGCATTGCCAATTATTGAGCGCTTGCCAAGTATTGGGGCATACTATATAGCCCAGGACGAGCTGCAGCGGCTGCTGCTGCTGCTGCTGCTGTGGGGCGACGCACTGAAACAGGAGCAATAACTGTTTGGCAAACAGATTTATTTTGCAGCCTCTTCATTGTTGCCGCCTGCTTGCCTGCAGCTGCCTCCGTTTCCTCCTAGCGGCCGTCTTCTCCTCTCTAATGCCTTCACTTACTGCCTGCTGCCTATTCTTGCTGCCTCCTCCTCCTGGGTGTTACCTCCTCCTCCTGGCTACCTTCTCCTCTTGTCTCTTGGCTGCCGGCCTTCTTCTAGCTGCCTCCTCCTCCTCCTCCTGGCTTTCTCCTTGCTACCTTCTCCTGCTCCTGCCTTCTCTTGGCTGCTTCCTCCTATTACTTCTCCAAGATACCTCTTCCTCCTCTGTTCTGGCTGCCTGCCGCCGCCGCCTCCTCCATACTGCTGCTTTCTTCTGGCTAGCACAAATATTGGTTTCTAAATTTTCATTGCCAATGCGGTCTGGCAGGATGTGCGCCTGTTACGACTCTCGACTGTTGCAGCTGCATTAAATGCATGTTTTGGCCGCCGCATTCAGGATTCCTTTGCCTCATGTGGCCTGGCTTGGCGTCCGCACGGTGCAGTGCATCATTTTTGCATTAGAAAAGTGTTCGCTCCCAGCTAGCTGTAAATAAGCCCAACGTTACGATGCCAACTGGCTGTTCCAGTCGCAGTAGTACTCTCAGTCGCAGCCTCAATCCAACTCCCAGTCCCAGTCGCAGTCCCAGCTCCCAATGGCGTTGCCATTGGCTGTTCCAGCCGCAAATTATGCTTGTCAAAAATGAATGTTACATTCGCAAATGTAAAAGGGGCAAAGATGTGCAGGAGAAGATGCTGCTCCCCAGGAGTGGGTGTGCGCCGGTGTGTGTGGGTGTGTGTGGGTGTGTGCGGGTGTGCATATGGGTTTTTGTGGTTGCAAACGCTACGTGCTCAATGCGTCACAATCTCTGGAGGACCCGCAGCCTGCACAAATGAAGCCAAGCCATTGATGGAGCACGGTACAGGCAGCCTGTGTGTGTCTGAGTGTATGTGTGTGTGTTGCTCTGACTGACTTGGTGGTTTGACTTTGCCGCAGTCACCACAGCAGCACAAGCAGCAGCAGCTCCTGCAGCAGCTCCTACAGCAGCTCCTGCAGCACCGGATGCTGGCGGCGTTTCGAGGCAGCTGCTCGCAACTTTGACTAAATGTGTTTTGAGTGCATTAAGATGAAAATGTTATTACGGTTTTTTTGTTTTCTCGCTCTCCCTCTCTCTCTTTCTTTATGCTCGGCTCTCCACTCTCAGTTCGCAGAGTTCTCTGCGGCTTTTTCCCTCGCCCTGGCACTCATTATTGCCACATTTGATGTCGGCGCCACATGGAAGCGGCGGAGATTAAGCGCGGAAATGCTGCAAAATGTGAGTGCAGGAACAAACATGAAACCTGATTGAGACTGTCGAGGAGAAGAGGCAGGGACTCGGTAGGTAAAACTGGTTAAAGGGCTTGGCTGAAGGTTGTCCAAACAAAATCGAACGGAAATTTATGCATACAGTTGCAAGCTAGATCAACAAGTGATAGAAGCCGAAAAGGAAGCGCTTTGCTCAGCCAAATTATGTAGATTAGCCGAAGGATATGCCAGGATATGCAGGCATATGAAGCATAGGAAATTGCCAGTTGCAAGCGCAATTGAAAAAATAAACAGTGCGCCAGGAACTGGAATTGAAATCAGGTACACAGCAGGAGCTGTTCCAGAATTTTTGTCAGATCTAATGAAAAGCAGGTCATGCATTAATTTGAAATATTTTCGAAAGCTCTGCATAAATGCCACTTGCACAGTAAATATCCAGGAAATATTCTGCACAAAGACAATAGACAAGCTATATGTAGCTGCTCCTATACACTCAGAGAAATCTGGCATTTAGTACTCAAATCTAGCGATTTTTTAAATAAATGTCTATTGTATTGAATCAAAAATAGCATAAATATTTAGTACCACACAGGTGATATTCGCCAAGTCTGGTTGGGTCCTTAGGTATTATTTTTTTATTTGGTTTGTACCTCTTCTAAGCCCGGTTCTCATATTACTGCAACTTTAAGCAACAAGCTTGATTTGGTACTATTGAGAAATATTTAATTCTTTTTATACTGCATTACTTTTAACAACCGCTTACCTCTAAGCTCTAGTACATAACCCATCCACTTTCCATCTTCTCAGATAAGTTGCGAGGCTTATAAATAAGGGCGTATGACTTCCTGGAAGCAGGGTCACCTATACATATATCATAATTTAATAATAATTTTAGGTTCTTTGCAGTTTAATTTCATTCTGCTTTGGCATTCTAACGCCATAAAATATGCTTTAAATTTGAATTTAACTCGAATTTATTGCGTATACGCAATGTGCGCATTGTTAAAAGCTGTTTTCTTTACTAGAAATGGAGAGAAAAGCTCTCGATTCATTACAAGAACACAGAAATAATAAATTGTTACTGTATTTAATTTATACTATATACCCATGGGTGTTTGTGATAATATCGAGATTATAACTGAAGAACTTTTATCTTCATATGTATATGTATAAAGGATGTTGATAATGATATAATAATAATATATATATGATAATAATAATGATAATGATAATGATAATGATAATGATAATGATAATGATAATGATAATGATATTGATAATGATAATGATAATGATAATGATAATGATAATGATAATGATAATGATAATGATAATGATAATGATAATGATAATGATAATGATAATGATAATGATAATGATAATGATAATGATAATGATAATGATAATGATAATGATAATGATAATGATAATGATAATGATAATGATAATGATAATGATAATGATAATGATAATGATAATGATAATGATAATGATAATGATAATGATAATGATAATGATAATGATAATGATAATGATAATGATAATGATAATGATAATGATAATGATAATGATAATGATAATGATAATGATAATGATAATGATAATGATAATGATAATGATAATGATTATGATAATGATAGCTTTTCTGATAATATCGCAGGTATACATATGTATAAGTTTCTTGATTCTTTTCCCAAATATATTGTTGATATAACAGGGCATCTGCTGGTCGACCAATTGCGATGAAATCGTCGACAATCAGCAATCAAAATTGAATGAAATCACACATGTATTTTAGTTTTTATTCAATTTATTTCATATTTCCGTTCGTGTTCATTATTTTTATATTTATTTCATCTATGTTAATATAGTGTGTTGTAAAGCTTGACAATCTATACCAAAGAATAATGCTATCTTTATGTATTTGAGTTTACATATACATATATATTTATTATTTATTTTTGGCAATATTTTGTCATGTTTTTCTCTCTATGTGTGTGTGAGTGACTGTGTGAATGTTCTTTTTGATTTTTTTTTTTTATTTTCGCTTAGGTTAAAACATGTGAAAGAAAATACAAATATTCTGAATGTGCGGATTGCCTTTTGCTTAAAATGAACAAAATTCAAAAAATGTATTCATTTTTGCACTTTTTACGCAATTGTTATTTTTTACGTAATTTACGTACGCAGCAGGCGATCCGGAACACCGAGCGACATTTGTAAAGGTAAAAAAGTTATACTACGGATTCTGCATTTGAATTTATTTATTTTCTGCATGCTGATGTAAGTCAAACATAGTTGATTTCCTTTTTTTTACACGCTTTGCATGTTGCATGTTAGCAGTTGCCTCTGTAATTGCATGCGTCTATTACACGTGGGGTTCTGTGTGCACTAGAGTTGAGCGCGTGTCGTTACACTCAGAGAAATGACTAGGGTTTTTATTATCTAATCAAGTAGAAAAGTTGTCAATACGCTCTCATCCAAAAATACCTTAATTCTGGCGAATTAAATTGTAATTGTCTTAAAGATTTTTTAAATCAAATTCAAATTATTTGTGAATTAACATATAGTAATATTTTACGTTTATAGTTCTTATAGTTTCTTAACTTCAAATATAAAAAAAATAAGGGTTTATAGTAAGTTAACTAATAGCCTACAATAATTCATTAATGCAAAAATAAGCAAGAGGTCATTAAACGTGTGCCATAAAGAGTATCAATATGTTTAACCTTTGCATGCGCCTGCCCATGTTCTTTTTCGTGTTTCGTTTCGCGCACGACACGCGCTCATCTCTAGTGTGCAGCTCATTGGCCTTCGATGTGCTCGCACGCATTGTGCGGCGAGTTGATTCCACTTGACTTAATAAAGGGTATTTGGTATATATGGAAGCATGCGGAGCGTACTAAGCAGTGTAATTAAAATTATATTTGCAACATTCGCAATGAGAATGTGTGTGTGTGTGTGTGTGTGTTTTTAAAAGCATAGTTTGAATGTTGTCTTTTCAGAGTTTAGTGCTGTTTACATGTGCTGTTTGCATTCTGGCGGTTACCAACACTTTTTAATTAGTTAAAACGATTTCAAAAGGTAGTACATGGCCAGTTTTTTCTTCTTTTAGCTCGGTTATTTTTTGTTACATTTCATGAGAGGGATATATATATATATATAAATATATATAGTTTTATGTATATATGTACATTGTTTTTTGTTTCTTTTTTTGTTTGTTTGCAGTATATAAGTTGAAGAGGTAAATAAATATGAGTGTTGTAAAACAAAAGCTAATATCAGTTCCATGCCTTATAGAGCCACAACAATTTAAGCAAAAACTATAGAGCTGTATATATGTATAAATGGATAAATGTGTTGAAATCAAATTGTAACTGAATTGCAAAGAATTTTGCATCTATACACTGAGCTTATCTCTCTATCCGTGCAGCAGCTAGGCATTAAATGTCTATATATACGCATATATATGTTATAACTTTTGGAGAACTATGAGATCTGAAGGAAAAAATTCGCTATTTATTGACATTTATCTCTATTGATTTATTATTATTAATTTGTTGAATTTCTCTTTATGTTACGTGCGATTGAAATAGTTTTGTATGTTTCATTGTTTGTTTATCAAAAAACAAAAATCCCTTTGAGCGTTTGCCCACAAAATACCAAAAAGAGGGCGTGTACTGTGTGTAAATATTTGCTTGCATAGTATTGTGTATTCGACGCGTACTCATATTTTTGTAAACAATTTTTTTTATTACATTTTTTTTATTTATTTATTTATATTTAAATGTGTTACTATGTTGCTAGTTATGCAAGATTTTTTTTGGAGTACGTAAATCCGCCTGTATACGACAATTGGCCTTACATTATTTAAACAACAGCTGCTAATGCATATACATATATATATATCGAAAATTGGTATACTCACAGTTGCCTAAAAGCCGGTAGACCTTTTGTGAGTTTGCGAGTAGAGCTTAATATTTTCTGCTTTTTCTCGACTTCATTCGAATCACAATCTAAAATCCGGCTCTTTTTTCATTTGAGCATTTTGCAACACTGGTTTTGAAGGTCTACCATTAAATAACTAGGGACTGGTTTGCCCAGAAGCTGAGAAGACTTTGAAAATTTCGTGTTTCAAAACTGCCCTAATGCACTTTATACAGTTTGGCAGCCAACTGTGAGTACATCAACTATATATGTTGGCTTTAGCTGTCTCTTAAAATGTATTTTATGCACTTAAAATTTAGTTTAAGTTTATAATTTACATTTACATTATCAAGCTCGAGTTGTAAACATTCTACACAAAAATTATTCTGCTGCAATTGTTGGGCTACACATGCGATTATACATGATATACATATACATATATATATATACTATATATAATACGATATACTCATACATTGTTCTTACACCCATGCATATTTCAATATAATAAGTAAAATTTTCGTTTTCAACTAGTTTGGGTTCTTTTTCTTTTTACATCCATATACATTGAATTTGTGTAAGGAGTGCGTAGAAATCAGTAAAATAAATTCGTAATGCAAACAGTTTAAGAAAGTTTTGAGCAGCTGAGGCAAAGATTAAATTAATTCTGTTAAAAAAAAAAAACGTAATAAGTTTTTCTAGATAGGTACTCAATGGTTTTGGCTGGGATTTTCACGTTTGTCTTTGGAAGAACTAGAACCTAGGTGTATATATATCTAAGTGTGCTGATTATGAACTTTTAAAAGCAGCCCGCGGGCGATAACAATTATGTTTAACATTTAAAACAGAGCTTTAAAATTATTTTTGGCATCATTTAGCTTTTGATATTGAGCTGGGCTTTAAAAACAATGTTTTGATTTTAAAAATTCTAAAATTCATCTATTTACACAATAATTTTCTATTTGAAAACTAAAAATATACCCTAGGCATGGCTAAAAGGGTGGCATATATACGTACATTTAGAAAATTGTTAATTTCAAGTTTCAGGTATTATACTTGGGAACTCTAAGGTCTATATATATATATATATCAATGTGGCTACAGTGGATTATACAATGAGCAGTAAAGTTTCTAACACTAAAAAAACGAATTTGAAAATCAAAAATTCTTCAAGCCCATGCAGCTCGGTATTAGGACTATGTCCTTATTTTCCTAATACACATACACATATACACATATATTTATATTTACATATATATGTGCTGTTACGTTTTATACACCTTTTGGGAAGTATTTTTGGTCTAGTATTGTTTTGGTTTTTACGCTATGCATTTTAAACATTTACCAAATTAGACAAACTATGGAATATTAATGACAAATTCCACTAGCAACATTTCAAAATGAATCAGTATCAAACATTTGCCATTCACCATTGGCAATAGCATACCCAAATTAACTGTTATATTTCCCAGTGACTGGCAAAAATATGAATGTTGACCAGCGGAATACGTTTTAAATTTAGGAATGGGTTACCATGAATCTAGATATATATAACTATTTATATATATATATATTTCCATGTGTTTATGCGTCTAGTTAAGCTACGTGTTTTACTTACGAGTGTCAAATAAAATGATTATTATTTCTGCACGCTGTTAACATAACATTCTCATCTTCTCACGGTTGTTTTTAGTGTTTCTTTTTTGATTCTATATAAATTGCTCTTGGATCGCGCGTTCTTCATCTTCTTCATGTACATACAGCTTCATTAAGTCTGCGACAGTCAATAGATTGGTTTTATATATTTCATTAATATTTTTTATACTGAATGTTTGGTTTTGTAAAAAATTACTTGAGAAGAGTTTGCTGATATGAACAAAACGATTGCCACGATGGATTTATTTTTGACTCTGTGAACTGATTGTTTTGGCAGCACAATCTATTGACCGACAGATGGCGCTAGCGCGCCGGCAGCACACTCTATTGGCCGACAGGTGACACGCTTTACACCTGTGTACCATAATACTAGAGGGAGACAAACTCGCCACCGCCAGCATTACCCTTATCCATGCCTGGCGCTGGCTCCGTCGTCTGCATCTGATGATGATGATGATGATCCTGTCCGCCCGTGTTCTCCGCCTCAGCCATGTTCGACTCTGCCGTGGATTCGCTGAACAGAGTCTCGTTCTCGTCAGGCAGCGACAGCGTCGAATTACCCAGCCCGCCGCTAGCGGTGATGCGACGTCCCATATTATCGTATTTGGGATAGGCGGAGCTGTCACGCAACGGCGTCGCCTCCACGCCAATTGGCGGCGTGCTGCAGGCGGACGTGGGTGCATTATTGATGCAGCTGGCGCAATTGGACGCGGACATGGCCGGCGCCGCTGACGTCGGATGATGGCATTGCACCACTGCGGTTACAGCGGGCGGCGGCGGTGGCGGCGGCAACGGCAGCTCCATGTCACTGCTGTTGTTGCCGCTACAATGATAGGCGCCCGTTTCCAGATTGTACGTAACAATCTCGTCATGTGGATAAAGATTCGTGGCCGCTGCCGCCGTTGACGCAGCTGCTGCTGCCTGCAGCGAGGGATCCTTTTTGAGTATGCCACGGCGTGTGGTGTGACGCGGCAGCGTGGCAAACTGTGCCACAGCCGCTTGGCCATCGCCGTTTGTGCCTGCAGCGTTGGCATCGGCTGAGCATTGGACATCCTGCAGTCGTTTGGGTATGTTCAGCAGATCCGGATACATGTTGATGTCAGCGCCATCCAACATATCCTGTGTGACCGAGACGCGTATGAATATGTTGCCAAAGGTGGGATTCGGCACAATGTTGGAGCAGAACTCCGGCGGTGGTGGAAAGACGCCCACATTTAGCGGAAACTCCTCCGACAGCTGGCCATGGCCATGCGAATGAGCGTGCGAGTGCGTCGGATGCTGCAGCTGATGCTGATAGCTGGCCATTGAGGTGGGCACACTGATCAGGCCACAGGTGGGATCCTTGACGGTCATCAGCTGCTGTCGCATATGCTGTACAGCCTGAGCCTGGCTGGCAACGGCCGCCGACTGCTGCTGCTGCTGCTGCTGCTGTTGCTGCTGTTGCTGCTGCTGCTGCTGCTGGGCCAAGGACAAGCCCGTGCGATGGTGGTCGACGGCATGAATTTCGATCTGATTGAAGCCGAGGCTGGAGTCGGTTTTGTTGATGGAACTGGGATTGTTGTCAATGCCATAGCTATCGCCGCGATCATTGGTTGTGGTTGTCACACTCGAATCCAACAGTTTCTTCTCCTGATCATTGAAGCTGACACTGGTCTTGACGCCCGCCTTATTGGCATGCCGATGCTGGCGCGTGGTCCGTTTGCACAGACACACCACAAACGAGATGGCGATGAGCAGAAAAACGGTGCCAAAGATGCCCATGATGAGGCCAAAATACCAGAATGTCTCCGGCGTCTTAACCAGCACATGCTGCACAATCTCGCTCAGATAGATGCTAATGTTTTGGGTCATGGACCCGATCAGATTGCTGCCCGTGCAGGCATATGTGCCCGCATCTAGGCTGCTCACGTTGAACACGGTCAGATTGCTCCACAGTTTGTCGGAGGCAATGCTCTCCGTATCGAAGAGCACATTATCATTGTCCAGAATTTTGCCATTCAGCTCCCAGCTGACCTCGGGCAGCGGATCACCATAGACCAGGCAGCTGAAGGTCGTATTGCTGCCAATGTCAATGTTGGTGGCCTCCTCATTGTTGAAGATCTCAACGCGTGGCGGGCAGCCAAACAGCTCATCGTCCACACTATCCCAGGTGCGATCCTTTTGCGCTGGCGGTCCTTTGCACACCAGGCTCACCGAGCTGAGTCGGCTGCCCACATACCAGCTGCGAAATTTGCGCAACTTGCAATTGCATTGCCAGGGATTCTCCTCCAGGGAGAGCGTCTTCAGATTGCCCATGTGCTGGAACACATACTCACTGAGGCTCTCCAGCAGATTGTTCTTGAGATTGAGAAATTCCAGCAAATTTAAATTGGCCAACGACATGGGATCTATATAGGATATCAGGCAGTCATGCATGTCCAGCGTACGCAAATGCGGCAATATGGGAAATTGATAGGCGGACAAACGCTTCAGAGGATTACCATTCAGATACAAGATGCGCAGCCGATCATTGCCCATAAACGTGTCCTTGTCCAGCATCTCCAGTTTGTTATCGGACAGATCTATTTCCACGAGTATTTTCAGATTGCGAAAACTTTCCTTGTGTACATATTGGACCTCGGATTTCTTAAGATAAATGCGCTGCAAATTGAGCAGGCCCAACGCGGAGAACTCCTCACGATTCAGATATGGTATATGATTATCATTGAGCACCAGCACCTGCAGTTCGGTGCTCAGCGTGGTCGGTATACTCGTCAGCTGTAATGAGCTGCATATGGCCGACTTTTTTCCATTGGTCCACTTGCAGGTGCAGTTGGAGGCGCAGCTTTGCGACCAATCGTCCGCCCACGCCCACCCGAAGAGGCAGGTGAGGCACAGGGCCCAAAACAGCTGCTGCCAGGCTGCAAAAAAGGCGAAAGAGAAGATTTTAAAAGACATAGATAACAGGGCAAAGCGAAGTAAATACGTAAAAAGAAAGAATAGCTAGCTTTAGCATGGCGAAGATTAAATGCGCTTGTTTAGAAGGAATTAAAAAAAAAAAGCGGGTTCTTTCGATTTTATCCAATAAAACAGGAGAAGATGTCAGTTTTTAAGGAGCTCCTAAATATCAACTATAGTCAAAATATCTTGAAAAAAAAATAATAAATTTTGAGCAATATTTTTATTATTATGTATGTCACATTTTCATTCAATTTTAGTTGAGTAAAGAAAATCAATTTAGGCAAAAATTAATATATCTCTCAGATGCTGTCTCTAACAAATCAACTGTGGTTGTTCCTATTTTTTTGCCGCCACTGTAGCTTGAAAACTGAGATACAAGCTTGCATAGACAGAGACAGGCACTCAGACTGACGGACATGGCTATATCGACTCGACTCTCGACACAAATCAAGAATATATATGTTTATTGGGTTCAAAGTTGTCTTCTTCAATGCGTTACACAATTCGTGGCAAAATAATAATACCCAGCGCAAGGGTGGAAAGAGCAATGATTGACGACCTTTGGTTCAGGCTTTTGTTTTATGTGCAACTCACCTGGCAGCCGGATACTGCTACCCCTGTTGCTCCTGCTGCTCCTGCTGCTGCTTTTGCTTCTCCATTTTGCCGCCATGCTGTGCATTTGTCCCGCTGCGTTCTGCCCCACGCCTGACCCTGTTCCTGTCCCTTTGCCTGGACCTGTTCCAGTGCCGGTCGCGACCTCGCCAATTGATGACTCTAAATGGCTTTGGCTGATTCGATTGCCATGTTTCACATCATGTTGCCGTCGCTGGCGAAAGGGGGCTCCATTACATATTACTCGGCACTTTGGCTATTTTACTGGGACAAAAGGCAAATTTTCCGTTGCACTCGACTGCGACAGTTCCTTATCGAATTTGATTTTTTTTTTTTGTGTGGAGGGATGCTCTCTTCTCGCTTCACTAAACTTCCACGCTCTCTTTAAGCTGGATTCAGTGCGTCCAAACTAGTGTTGGCAAGCTAAAAAGAGCATAAAAAATTTCTTCTAGTTAAAATTTGCTGCCAAAATAAGTTTAAAATTTATTATTAAATTTAGACAATATTAGGTTAGCTGCACGATTCGGACAAGCAAGATTTTGTTTTCAATTTTTGGGGGAGATATTCAAATAATAAAATATTCTTAATCTTAATAAATTAAGCGTATCTAGCTCTTATAGTTTTGAGCTATTTACCAATTTTCATCGATACACAAAAAACAAGAGACAAACTCTAAATTGAATATTTTCAGACCCACAGGCAGACAGACATGGACAGATTGTCACAGCGTGTCGGTCTGATTAAAAATATATGTTATCTATAATATATATAATTTCATGCTCAAGTATATATATACTTTATGGGTTCGAAGATGCTTGCTTCCGTCTGTAGCATACATTTTTTAGGGTTCGGCGCAAAATAAATTCAAACGATGATTAAAATACCTTAACATTTTAAAAGTGGGGCTGGATTACTTTCTTATGGATTGGACAATTTATTAGCCATTACTGTTTTAAGATAATTTAAAGCTTATATGATTTACACACGTCACAAGGGTTAACAACCTTTCAACTTAAACAAGTTGAAGCTAGGCAAGCTTATGTACAGAAGCTCCCTTTTGCAAACAACATTTCCACAAGCCTATTACGCCTTTGACTTTGTCTGCAAAAAGACACAAAAAGCTAGAACTAACGAAAAAAAATGAGCGTAATTGGCAACACTGGCCGGCATTCGGATTAGTTTTCAGTGTTGGCAGTGCTCAAAGCTGAAGTTGCTGCTCCTTAAACTCTTAAAGAAGACGAGCATGTATTGCGGAGGCCGCAAAAAATCGGCTTTACTTAGAGCATCATTTTCAGGAACAATGCGCATTGTGTGCCCATGTTGTTGTTGTTGTTGTTGTTGTTGTTTTGATTGTAATTGTAGTTGGCTCATTGGTAATCTCAATTTACCGAAGCTCGGCCAGTAAATGGAATGCCAAACAATGGCCGTTGGGATCGGCCTTTAGCCAAAGCTTTAAAATCGCCTATCAACAACAATTTGTAGTTTGTTGTTCATGCCAGGCGTGGGTCTGGGTTTGGGTTTGGGTTTGGGTTTGGGTTTGTCGATTCAGTGGTTGGGCGGGTGTTTCAATAGACCAACTCATGCCACTTGGTGCCGCACACAGAGAACAACGACGCAACAATGCGGCGCAACAGCCAACAGCTACCCGTGCCACGCCCTCCATTTGCGGCTGGCAAAGGCATCTTCACAAAATCAGCATCAAAAGCCTGTCGAATGATGTTTTTTGCTTTACAAGTTTTTTTCTTCTATTTTTTTTTTTCTTTTCTCATATTTTTTGTTTTTTGTTTACGCTCAAAGTAAAGCAGCAGCTGGAAAATGAGGCAAAAGTGAAATTTGCCCCTTGCTGCAGCAAGAAAATTCTGCACAAACTGCTGAACTACACCTACACACACTCACACACACACTCACACACAGATAGCAGCCCACACACAATGGAAACGTAAAATGCTCTGAAGGTTCATTTGTCAATTTGCCATTTGAATTTGTATTTGAGAAATTCACTTGGCCGCTTTTGCGCTTTGTCCTGCCCGCACACCAGGCCCCCTTTCCCCTTCCCCGGAACATGCATCGACAGCCTTATTCATAGCGCATCTTTCTCTATCTACTTTTCTCCCTCTGTCTCCCTCTCTCTCTCTCTCTATCTCTCTCTCTCTTTCTGACTGTCTGTCTATTTTGCGCTCTGACTTGGCTAAGATGCTTTGGCAATGCGGATAATATTTCCTGTGCCAGTGCAGCAGTTGGCGGGCGCAATTGCAACGGCTGCGCCTGTTCGGGCTTCATCCGACCCCACAGCCAACCCTTCATGACGGCGCCTCTGCCTCTGCTCTGGCAATTCAACTGATTTTCCCCGCCTGCCTTTTGTGGCTGCCACTGTGTCAGTGTCTGTGTGTGAGTGTGAGTGTGAGTGCGAGTGTGAGCTGTGCCTTACAATCGTCGACAGTTTTATTTGTGCAGCTTTATGAGCACTCACACTCGCACTCACACACACACAGACACACACATACTTATATTTATACACTCACTTGAAGAGATCCGCAGCGGTAGACACTCGACGTTGGCTCGTTGATATATTCATAAATGGCCAATTGCCAAGAAAAAATCTACAAACGATTGCAGAATATTAAAAAAAAAAATAGATATATATTATGATAGGATCTGCGTTTATAAATTTGAAGCCAACTGCAGCCGCATGTCGCAAGGCAAATCAATTAACTGATGCACCCAGGCATAAGCTTAGATAAAGATCAATACATTTGTGCTGTCTAAGCAGATTGAACTGCCAAATGCAGTGATATGGTTAGATATAGATATATTTCTTGTAGTTAAGCTCTTGCGAGTGGTTAACAAAAAAGCTGGCCAACAAAATCAGTTAGCCGTTGGCCATAATTGGATTTCTTTGTGCATCCACCAACAATATTTGTGCCTGCCATTGTGCCAAAATAATTTGGTTTACCTAAATTCAGAAAACTAACAAATATGTTGGAAATATATTAAAAAGTTAAATAAACGAAACAAAGTCAATTTGGTTATGCCCCGTAATTTCCTCTATTTGAAGCGAGAATTTCGCAGATTTAAGAACATTTTTTCAACTATATTCCGCCAATCGATTTGATTTCTGTGGATTTTGAAATTAGTTTTATTAATAAACCTTTGGCTCTTCGTAAAATAGCAAAAAGTTTTCATTATTTAATAGAGTGAAGAGAGGAAAACAAAGTTAAATTCGATCAAAACTGTTGCCTATTTAACATTAGCCCAACATTTTTCACGCCGGAACGTGTATTTTCGAAAACTGTGATACACGATTTACAAGAAATTTTACTTAATTCTTTTGAAAATTACAATAAAATCAATTATTGTTTATTTTTACGTCCTTGAAGATGCAATATTGAAATCTACAAATTTTAAATTAAATTTAAAGCCAAGTAAAAAGTATAAATTTACCCATACAAATAAAAGACAAAGTCATTCTCTTACATAGATTTCCAAATTGAAACTACCCATTTGACAGCACATTTGTAGGGTATCGCTTTTGTAAACAGGGCAAGGCAATATATTTTATACAGAATAATAACAAAAGCATCGAATAAAACAAAGCGAATCATTTGTGAAACCAAATCCTCAGAGATTTCAACAGAAACGCTCGCAATACCAAGAAACGTATAACTTTTTAGACTCCATTACAACAATAAGTGCACATATTGAAGTCAATGCGAATGTCGTTTACAATCAATATTGACACGCCCGGAACATTAAATATTAATTGCCATTTGAGCATGTTCATAAAACTGATGTTCGATATGTTTTGCAATGAAAACACACACAGCCAACGAGGCGTATGCGTAACTTAATTAATTGACATACAACTAATTTGTGCGTAGCTAAATAATTTTCGAGTCTAGAGTCTAGACTTTGGGCAAGCATCATGCATGAATAAATCCAGCTAATTAGCAAATGCAATTGCAATATGAAATGTTTGAAGAGTGTTTATACTATTATTGTCATTAACATTCATTTTTAATCATGGTCAAAAATATTAAACTTGAGAAAAAAGCATAATTGTAAATTATATTGAAAGTGAACCTGATTTTCCACATCAATGAACCGCATGTGCTTCTTCTTCCTTTTGCCCCACACATGGTAAATGCATTCGTGATGAACTTAAATTTTTGTAGTTCTTTATGTTTTCAGAGTATATTACTTAAATATATATCTATATAAATAGTCAACATACAATACTCAAACCAAATCGAGAAGCATAAATAGCCGCAATTTGATCAAAGCTCATAAAACCACACAAGATATGGTCTTAAATTTAATTCAATTCAATTGATACCATTTTCTTATAACTTTTTGTATTGAAATAATATCCAAATTGTCTGGCCAGACCCTTGACCTCGGTCGTGCCAGGCGACAGACTGAAAAGACGTCTCTGAGGGCAACAACTCCGCCTCTGTCTAAGTCGTGACGCCTACGGGCCAGCACATGCACCTCTGCCACCTTTTTTTGGCATAAAAAAAATTACATTTCAAAGAATTTGTTGCGTTTCTTTTAAATAAGCTGTTACTCCCAGAGCTGCTTTACAATTTCAAAGAAATTTAAATCAAGGCTGCAAAGCGGCTTAAAACTCAAACGGTTCGAAACAGGAACTTCAAATCTTTTCCAACCAGAGCCCGAATTTAATATGAATCGGCAGCCTAACCAATAGCCCCGTGTAACAAATAAAATTGTTTTAGGTAAGATACAACATTTCTTACACATTTCTGAAAATGTCACATTATTTCAAAATGTGTAAAATGCGGCCTATTCGTTACCCCATAAGAAAACACATTTCACACATTTTTCATTTCATTCTATTGATGTCGTGAAAAATGTGATAGTAACATAACCGTAAACAGCTGATATATCAACGAGGGCATAAGAAAATAAGAAATAAAAAAGAAATTTTAAATTCGAATAATTCCACAGTTCTTAGAATTTCTCAGTGGCGCTTATGTAAATTAAAGCAACTCGATCAGCGGTTTATTTAAAGAAGGGGTACTTTTGCCACTCACATGTTACCGACAATCGGTAGAACACCAATATGTGAAATTAGAAAATGTGACATTATTTAAGCCAGTGGACAAATGGTTAAAAATGGTTAAAAAGGCTATAATGTTTTCGTACAAATGTTTACAACAGGCAGAACGAAGCATCTCCAAACCGAAATTCTGATTTTTAAGCAAATATCTTTGTGTTTAGAAGCTAGAGTTGCCAAACTATACATGTAGCTTATGGAATAGTATACTTATATAGCTAAAAACTTGATTTGTGATTCAAATCATGTATAATCTAACTGCTCCGAATTTGTAAGTTCCTTCTAGTCAGTTGTTGAAAAGCCGTTGAGCGTAACACACAAACATTTTATCTTATTTAAAAAAAAAATA